GGACTATGTCTCTCGGCTGGCCTGGGAACGCCTTGGCATTCTTCCGGAGGAGCTGGAGGAATTGTCTGGAGAGAGGGAAGTCTCGGCATCTTTGCTTAAAATGCTGCCCCCGCGACCCGGTCCCAGATAAGCGGAGGAAAATGGATGGATGGATGGATTTGTTTGAGTAAATGTGCAGTTTGTCTAAGTGCTACTGTATGTGTGTATGTCCCTGGAGCAGGTTGATTGTAAAAGGCAGTCAAAGAGTATATAAACACATGCGGACACACAGACACACTCACGGCACAGAGGAGATCTAGTCTAATTAAAAAGCACAGCGGTGATTTCAGGTTTTCTGTAAAAAAGAGAATTAATCTGTATGTGTGTGTGTGTGTGTGTGTGTGTGTGTGTGCACTCTTGTATGAGTTTGCTGGCTTCAGCATGATCGCCCATCAAATGAAACGATGTATTCCACGGGACCTCAGGGTTTCCATTTGAGTATTTGGACGCGATGCTGCAACGAACTGTGGCTGTTTTATGTGGAAAAAGTTGATAATTAGTCCCACAGTGACTGAACGATGAGATGGAGAAAGAAAGGGAGAGGAGGTGGGGTGGGGGACAGTGAAGGAAGAGGAGAGAGCGCTTAGCACACTTAATACCAACCTGACAATGCCAGGGAATCATTGATCATCGATCAGTTTTTTTTTTAATTGCCCTCAACTCTTTGCTGACCCCCCTCATCCCTCTCCTGCTGTCACTTGATCAGTAACTTTGAATCAATGCACTTGTCTGATGTGATAAACAATAACTTGTGAAAAATCTCAGCCTGAGTTTCTATTTACAGTATTTATTTGGTCCAGTTTCTGCCCACTGGCATTAACAGTTAGGAGTGCTATCAAACCACTGTCATTTTGGAAGCCCTGACTTGTCCCCTTTCTAAAAGTGGCTCAGGTAATAATTAACAATTAAAATGCTGTCTTTTTGCCTTACTTGCCCCTGGTTAGCTTTGCTAGAGACATTGGGTGCTATTTCTCTCTATCCCCCTTCCCCACCCCATATACCCATCAAACTCCCCTCCACATACAAACACAGACAAACCTTTCTGAGCAACCATGGCAACAGCTCACATTTGGTTATGGCTCCTCTAGCACGGTCACCAGTCCTTGCTCTTCAGAACCGATATACCGGAACAATTTCCAGCTTGACCAAGGACGTGGAAATGATCTTATAAGAAACATGAGACATACCAGTGGAACTGATATCCATAATTTTCAGGCCTTTCTGAGCAACTCGGAACATTTTATTTCCATGTTTTTATTACATGTTGTTGTGTTGATGAAAATAAGCTTTTTTTCCTTGTTGACCTGTGTAGGAGGTTAGCTTATGTAAGGTAAGGATATATGAACACTTCTCAGGGGAGTTAGTGGTGCAAGAGCCATGTCAGGAGCGTGACAGGGGTCAGACAGCTGAGTGGCAGCAGGAAAAAGCACATCATGTTAGTTTGGAGGCTCCTTTGTCACAGGCCACACCCCCTCCCCCTTTCCATGCCCTCCTCTTGGCCTTATTTAGTCCCTGACCATGTCACTCAGAGGTCAGGGAAAGCAGTACTATGCTACACACTAGCTCTCACATACAACAAACAGACACACACATACAGATTGTAATAGAATGGTAGAGTGCGTCATAAATAGAAGTGCCTTAGAGGACCTGCTTCTCATTAGCTACTGATTTATCTCTCCCCCCTTGGATGGGGTGGATGGATGGCATCTATGCATGTGTATCAGAAACTGTATGTGTGTGTGTGTGTGTGTGTGTGTGTGTGTGTGTGTGTGTGTGTATATTTTGGGGGGAGAGCGGGGGTTCAGAGGCACTGTGTAAATGAGAAATAAATACATATATGTATTTTCATGGATTAGTGTCTGTGTGTGAGACTTAGTGTGAAAGTGTGTGTGTGTGTGTGTGCATGTCCTGCTCTGTCAGCTAGACACAGGGACTGTGTCATTCCACATTAGCCCACTGTGGGCACACTTGACCTGGGGTCAAACTAATTAATAAAAGATCATGCACACACACACACAGAGCTGCTATCTGATTAAATATTCTTCAGCCCAGTGCTTCATAATCATGACAAGTGCACGCAGCGCTCTGGTACACCATTATCCATTTAGTAAATTTTGTCTTGTCTTGCAGTAATCTGCTCAAATCCCCAGTGAGCTTATTATTGTCAAGGAAAAGTGCTTATAGCTGTGCAGGAAGGTAGGATTTTGGAATGATGCAAAATGTATTTTGCACAAGGAATTAATAGTGAAAACAAGCTTCCCAACAAAGTGAATTCTGGCACTTTTATTGCACCCTTCAGCTTAAGTGGCTACTATGTTTAATGAGATTGATGAGATCTATGGACATTTTCTTTAAGAAATAATTACATTGTGTTCTGTTATAATATAAAGAGATGGTGTGTGCATTAGGTTAAGGAGCAGCTCTGGTGCTAATATGACTGCAACTCTGCCCTACATAATTCATTGACTTCTGGGGGATGAGTCTCTCAGGAACAGAACCTTTTTTTGCCTTTACTTGATTCCCTCTACATCATAGTCTCAAGAGACAATTCATAGGAAAAAAGCAGAGAGAAGGAGGGATATTTTGCCAAGTGCCAACCGGTGACAAAAAAGAGCCACTTTCAAAGAATTCAACTGGCAATACTGTGCTTTAATAAATGAGAATACAAATTATTGTTACTTGGATGTGTCTGTAATTTCAACCATTATGGCCCCTTGATTTGTCTCTATATGTGTGTGATACCACTCTTAACTTCTAGTGCCTGTTTCGAAAACAACATATTTTTAAGTGGAGATTACACTAAGACAGGCTGATGATTTTTGATTTGTTAGCTACAGCTGACGTTAATTTATAAGCCACAATGAAAGAATTTGATTTAATTCAATCCTGTAGTGATAGACAAGTTTTACCTAGAAAAAAACTAAAAACTTGTCCTGTGTTCTAGGGGTATAACGGACGATGTAATCACAACATTGTAGTTCAGGTTTGACCTCTGATGCATGTCATACTTCC